AGTCGACTAGTTTGAGTTCTAGTCGACTGGACTTATCAGGAATAGAATATAAAAGATAAATTACAGAAAGTAAATGGCACAGTATATTTTTATACTGGTTCGGATTCAGAGTGAATCCTACGTCTAGTCCTCTTGGGTTGCAAGGGTGATCTCTTTCAAGTATGAAGTGGCTTAGTACAGATGAGTTGATGTTGTTATACACCAACATCTTATGTTACTCGTTCTTCTCTCTATAATTGATACAATGCCTCACCGGTGTTCTTTTCTCTCTCTCTCTCTCTCTCTCTCTCTCTCTCTCTCTCTCTCTCTCTCTCTCTTCTCTTATTTGTTACATAAGGAATCTAAAGCAGACTACAATGTTTTGTTTGAAGTAGAACAAAGAGATTGAAGTTGGTTTGATCAAGGTATATCATTCCAAAGCTAGTGCAGTAGGTATTTATACTTCTCGAGGCCTTCAAGTCTTGTACATCTTTATGAGAGATTGCGAATCCAAGGGAGTTATATTCAGACGGATTCGTAGATTGATTCTTTCCGAGATTGATTCGTCTGCTGACTTGTCTTGACTAGTGGGCTTGAGTGATTGTTTTCCTTAAATGAGAGAGTATTCCCGTTGACAAATCCCTTGATTGATACCTTCGATTAACGTCATTATGTGGGAGAATCTTTAGCGGATGATTTCGTGCCCGTAATCTCATTTGATTTAGATCCTTCCTATAATATCTATTTTAATTGATTTTTATATCTTCTTTGATTGATTTGTCCGCTTCTCTTTCCTTTTTCATTGGATTCATTTCCTCCATTCTATTGCTCAGAATATTTTCCTTCACATAGGGAGTAATTGGTTATTTTGCATCATTGAAATTTACTAAGATCTAACAATCTCCCCATTTTTGATGATGACAAAATAATAATGAAAATACTTTCCTATTGATCAGCCCCCTTGAGTGTGTTGTAGTCAACTCTAATTTAATCCGCGTTTCTTGGTAGATGTTTCTAGTCGACTCCCCCTCAGTTGGATACCATATGATGTACCTGCAAGTTGAAAACAAAGCACACAACACAGAACATAGAAGTAGGAAATACATAGAACCACAGGCCTTAAGCTTGCTTACTGTTTCTCCCCCTTTGTCATCAACAAAAACAAAATAAAAGCAGGGAAATAAAAAGTATTTGTCCTAAGAGTACACCCCATGACTAAAACATCAGTCGCAAAAACAAAGCAAAAAGAAAATTGTCTTAAACAACCAAACATCAACGACACAGAAAGTAGGTAAGGGTGTTGCAAACTGCCTCCTTGAGGCGATCAAAGCTAGCATTCAATGTGACAGAGACCCCATCAATTCTGTCGTGCATTTCTTTGAAGGCCCTTACTGCTTTTTCTGCAGTCTTGAGAATCTGCATTCAAATCTTGGACACGTCGAACTCTGTCTCCTTTGCCATTCCATGGATATCTTCAATCTAGCTTTGCATAGAGGTTAAGGAGTTCTTGATGACAGACAGTGTTTCATTGACGGAGACAAGCTTTTCTGAGAGGTCCGAATCACTTGTACTGGGGGTGAGACATAGGAGCTTTTGCCTTGGAATCGGAGGGGATATTCTTGGTTTTACCTTCTTATTTCTTGACCCAGGCACCCTTTATAGAAATATAACCCATGCTAGCAAATCCCCTTGAATTGTAAGACTTGGTGGCAGTGATGTAGGGAAGGTCATCAAGGGATATGTAGTTGGCTTCTAGCATATGGGTGATAACCATACCATAAGGAAGACTTGTGGGATCATCGACACTTTCTATCATGAAATTGATGACCCATAAGGACAACTTGACCTTGTGCTTGGTTAGAAGGCAGTAAACTAAGAAGGTATCACGCCGGGAGAAGGTAGAGAATGATCCTATTCTTGGAAGAAGAGTGGTTGCTACAATATGTGCTAAGACACGAGTTTCAAAACAAATATCATTGGGTCCTAGTTGACTAGGGAGAGAGTGAGAGGGTGATTCAGCTATACACATTTTAGCTTGATCAAAAGAGATTTCAAAATCCTCAAGCCATGTATTCTTAAAGAGCATAGAAAAACCAGAACATCTATATTGAAAAATAGTATCAAACAGAGTACAGTCCAGAACAATGCGTTTTCCAAGAACCAAGATTTCTAATTTAGCAGGTTTACTAGAGCGAAGATTGGCATAGAATATTCTAACAAGGGGTTCATATACCTTTAGAGGAGGCAAGGAGAGAAAATTTTTCCAACCCTGGAAGTCAAAGAGTTCCTTCACTTTGCAGTTGAGGCTGTCCATGACATTTAAGTCGACAAATCTTACATGAGCGACAGACTTGTCTTTGAAAGCAATGAAGGCATCCTTGTTTGGAGTATCCCAGAAATTTATCATACTCAAGAGAATTGGAGAGATCAGTTTTGGGCTTTTGGGGAGTAAAGGTTTCAGGAAGGTCTTCCATGGGTCATTTTCCTACGGCTTTCTCGTTGAGACTGCGAGCATCATCTGAGAGTTCTTGAGAGGAGGAAAAATTCTTGGAGTGGTCTGATCCTAGATTGTCTGGTTCAAGAGGTTGAGAAGAGGGTTTTGCCCTAGAGCGAGTACTTTTGCGGGTGAAAGTAGAGGGATTTTTGGAGTGCTTTGCCATGGTAGGGTTTGGAATATGGTATTGGAGATACAAATAATATGATAGAGACAGAAGAAGCTTTGAACTTAAAACAGGTGATAAACGGCGGTTGAGTACAAACGAAAAGGCGTCAGAGATTTGACGCAATGATTGACCGGTCTTTGAAAGGGCGTGAAAAGTTGTGAAAAAGGAAAAGCAATAGACGCACAATTAATGCATTTTACACACTTAAGGAAATAATTTAACTAAGATACAGTAACAATTTAAAAATACCACAAAGGCCCTAAAGTTATGAGTTTATGGAAATAATGTCAAGAGAGTCTCGTAATGCACAAAATCTGTCTTCTAGTAAGGGTTTTGTAAAAATGTCTGTTAATTGATCATTGGAACTTACAAATAGTAATTCCATGTTGCCTTTAAGAACATGATCTTTAATAAAATGGTGCTTAATGTCTATATGCGTAGCTCTAGAATGATGCATAGGATTCTTTGATAGACAAATAACACTAGAATTATCACAGAATATTTGAACAGACTTAAAAAATAATTCATAGTCACCCAATTGATGAGACATCCATAGCAATTGAGCAGAGCATTATCCAATTGCAATGTACTCTGCTTGAGTTGTGGAAAGAGCCATTGATCCCTGTTTTTTACTCTTCCAGAAAATTAGTGCTTTTCCCAGTAATTGACAAGTCCCACTTGTGCTTTTTTTGTCCTCATTGTCACCTACAAGATCGGCATATGAAAAACCCTCAAGTATAAAATTTTTAGAGTGAGGATACCAAAGTCCGTAGGAGGTGGTTCTAATGAGATAATGAATAATTTGCTTTACTGATATTAAGTGAGACTCTTTAGGAGCTGACTGAAACCTGGCACATTTACAAATACTGAACATGATATCTGGTCGACTAGCCGTAAGATATAGTAGAGACCTAATCATTCCACGATACTTGGTTTCGTCTACTGATTTTCCCTGTTCATCCCTGTCTAAACTTGTAAACGGACTCATAGCAGTTCCAATTGATTTGGCATTGCTCATTCCAATTTTTTGAATCAATTCCTTTGTATACTTGGTTTGGTAGATGAATATTCCACTTTCTGATTGATGGATTTGTAGTCCAAGGAAAAATGTTAGCTCTCTCATCATACTCATTTCGAACTCACTTTGCATGAGATTTACAAAATCCTTGCACAAAAGAAGATTAGTACTACCAAATATGATATCATCTACATAGATTTGAATAATGAGATTACCTTTAGTAAATCTCTTGATAATTAAAGTAGTATCCACCTTACCTCTGGTGAACCCATGATTAGTTAAAAAGGAACTCAATCTTTCATACTAAGCTTGAGGAGCTTGTTTGAGTCCATAAAGAGCTTTAGCTAGCTTGTACACATGATAAGGAAATTGTGAGTTTTCAAAACCAGGAGGTTGTTTTACATATACCTCCTCATCAATAAAACCGTTTAGAAAAGCACTTTTGACATCCATTTGAAATAGTTTAAAACCTTTGAAAGATGCATAGGCAAGCAATATACAAATTGATTCTAACCGTGCTACCGGTGCAAAAGGTTTCATCATAGTCGACTCCTTCCTATTGTGAGTAGCCTTGAGCTACTACTATGGCTTTGTTTCTTACTACCTTTCCTTCTTCATTTAGCTTTTTTCGAAATACCCACCTTGTTCCGACTACAGTAGCGTTTGCAGGCTTAGGAACTGATTCCTAAACTTGGTTTTTATCGAATGTATCAAGTTCGTCCTGCATGGTTTGTATCCAGCTGGAGTCCTTTAGGGATTTATTAAGTTTCTTTGGTTCTGCTTGAGAGATGAGTGCAATATTTGCTTTCTTTTTGAGAGACCCTCTAGTTTTCATCCCTTCACTTGGATCCCCTATGATGAATTTTTGAGGATATTCAGGTTCACTTCTCCATTCATTCGGCTGGGTTCCAACTGTAGAAATAGTCGACTTCTTTTGTGGTTCAACAGGATTGATCACAGGTTCATTAGTCGACTCTGTGACTATAGCTGGGATATCAGTCGACTTTTGTGATTTATTTGTCTATGATACTTCTTGGCTGGTGTCTTCATCACTTGTAATGATTCCTTTCTCGGCCACAAAGTTATTTTCATCGAATATAACATGCACTGATTCTTCTACAGATAATGTATGTTTGTTGTAAACTCTAAATGATCTACCGTTAATAGAGTAACCCAAAAAAATACCTTCATCAATCCTTGGGTCAAATTTTCCAAGATTATCCTTACCATTAGTGTGAATGAAACACTTACTTCCAAACGGGTGAAAGTAGCCAATATTTGATTTCTTACCTTTCCATAATTCATATGGAGTCTTCTTCAAAATAGGTCTTATGAGGCATCTGTTGAGAATATGACATGTTGTACTGACTGTTTCTGCCTAAAAGTGGCAGTGAATGTTGTAATATCATTGTTCTTGCCATATCTTGTAGAGTTCTATTCTTGCTTTCAACTACTCCATTTTTAGGTGATCTTGGGGATGAGAAGTTATGTGTATACCCTTGATCATTACAGAATTCTTCAAAGGATCTGCTTTCAAACTCTCCTCCATGATCTCTTTGGATGGTTGTGATCAGATCCCCCTTTTCTCTTTCAATTCTTTTGCAGAAAATCTCAAAATTTTTCAGAGCTTCATCTTTATGAGATAAGAAAATTACCCATGTAAAATGTGAGTAGTCATCAACAATAACAAAAGCAAAACGTTTACCTCCAATGCTGGCAGTTCTAGTAGGTCCAAACAGGTCTATATGAAGTAATTGCAATGGCTTGGTAGTGGACACAATATCCTTAGTTTTAAAAGAGTTTTTAGTTTGTTTACCAATCTGACATGCATCACATACATGATTTCTACAAAAGTTGAGTTTGGAAAGACCAATAACTAAATCATACTTGGACAACTTTTCAATAAGATGCATGCTTATATGACCAAATTATTTTATGCCAAAGCCATGGATCGTCAGAAATGGATGCTAGATAAATGTGACTATCTAGATTTTCAATGCCATCAAGAATATAGACATTTTCATACTTTTTTTCCTGGAAGAATAATTTACATGTTTCATCCTCAATGGCACATCCCGTTTTCTTGAATTTTACTTCATATCTCGAATCACATAGCTGACTTGTACTCAAAAGATTGCAGTTGAGTCCATCTACAAGATATACCTCTGTAATATCACAATTATTTCCGAATGGAACTGTACCGATACCAACTATCTTTCCTTTTGAATCATCACCAAATTTGACATTTCCACCATTTATTTTTGTGACTTCTTTGAACAGATTTTTGTCACTCGTCATGTAACTCGAACACGCACTGTATAAATACCATTTTTCTTTGCAGTTCTTTCTGTGGTGTTCCTGCAAGATAGAATTGTCACCTTCTTTTAGGTACCCAAGCTTGCTTGGGTCCTTGTTGGTTAGTTCTACTAGGATCAAGATTGTTTTTGGGTTTCCAAAACCATCCTGAAACATTAGATTTACGAAATCGACAAAAGGAATATTTGTGTCCAATTTTGCTATAGTAATGACACATAGGGGTTGATCCAGTTTTTGATCTACCACTTGTGTTAGTACCTGTGGACTCAACTCTAGCCAGTCCTTTTTCTATTGACTTGTAAGTCACCTGGTTAGACTTGACTGAACTATGACTGGTGGATTTTTGCATGCCATTTAGTTGCATTTGCAATTACTGAACTTCATCTTGAAGTACATCTCTTTCGATTTCACAGACTTCAAGCTTAAGTTCCCAGTTTTTCCTTTCCCTATTGAGTCTCCTTAATTCATTCAATATTTTTTTAGACTCTTTTAGAGTAAGGTCAAGAATATCCTGCAATTCATTACATCTATCACAATTATAAGATCTTACCTTGCTTGTTTCACCTCGTGCCATGAAACAGTTTTCAGTATTTTCCTTGCATTTATCGCCTGATGTATCTTCATCAGTCCAGGAGCCAGAGTATTTGTTCATGTCATTTTCCAGGATGGTCATGAAGCATAGATTTTCTATTTCTTCGTGTTCTGAACTATCTTCATCACTCCAACTTCCGTTGGATTTGTGTTTGTTAAACCCTCTGGAGACTTTTCTTTTACGATCTAGGTATGCAGCTTGAACATGCTCATATCTTCCACACTCATAATGCTTTCCATCATTTTTGTCTTGTTCATTGTATTGCCTGGTTCACCTAGATGGCATCCTTCCCCTTCTTGTATTTCTATACCTTCTCATTAACCCATCCATGTTTCTTGATACCATAGAAATTTCTTCTTTAAGGACTTCTGGATCATCATCAATATCATTTTCAGGTCCTTCAGTTGTAGATTTGAAGGCAACCGTTTTCTTCTTTTCTTCCTGACTTGTCTTCTTGAGATGGGTTTTCTCGAATGCTATAAGATCTCCTTTGAGTTCATCATAAGAAAGTTTGTTTATTTCTTGAGACTCAAGTGCAACTACTTTTGTCTGCCAAGTGGTAGGTAAACTCCTTAGGAGTTTTCGAACTTGATCACTACTTGAATAGGGTTTACCAAAAGCTTTCAAATCGCTAATGATTTTGCTGAATCTTGCGAACATTTCCTCAATGGATTCTCCTTCTTTCATCTGGAAGAGTTCATAGTCATAAACCAACATGTTTATTCGAGTTTCTTTCACTTTGTTGGTTCCTTCATAGGTGACCTCCAATTTGTCCCATAATTCTTTAGCCGTATCACAACTTGAAATCTTCTTATACTCGTCTCCATTTATAACGTTTCGTGCCTTAGCATTAACCTAAACGACCGCCATTTGTTTGTCTGTGTATTCATCTATATCTTCAGAATCAGCGGGTGGTTGAGTTGCTGCTAATAGTGGATAGTTTCCCTTTTTGATAGCACGCCATAATTTCACATCATAAGATTTTGCATAGATTTCCATTCGAACTTTCCAGTGAGAAAAGTGTTGTCCATTGAAGTATGGTGGTCTGGCTTCTGACGTTCCCTCTTGAAAGAGTGCTCCAATAGTTATTTGATTGGCCATGATCTTATCTCACAAGCGGTTAAGCAAAAGTGTTAGACCTTCTCTGATACCAATTGTGTGCAAGAGGGGGGAGTGAATTGTAATTTTCTTTTTTGTTTTCTAGGTAGTCGACTAGTTTGAGTTCTAGTCGACTGAACTTATCAGGAATATAATGTAAAAGATAAATTGCAAAAAGTAAATGATACAGTATATTTTTATACTAGTTCGGATTCAGAGTGAATCCTATGCCCAGTCCCTTTGGGTTGCAAGGGTGATCTCTTTCAAATATGAATGGCTTAGTACAGATGAGTTGATGTTGTTATACACCAACAGCTTATGTCACTCGTTCTTCTCTCTATAATTGATACAATGCCTCACTAGTATTCTTTTCTCTCTTTCTCTTCTCTTCTTTGTTACACAAGGAATCTAAAGTAGACTATAGTGTTTTGTTTGAAGTAGAATAAAGAGATTAAAGTTGGTTTGATCAAAGTATATAATTTCAAAGCTAGTGCAGTAGGTATTTATACTTCTCGAGGCCTTCAAGTCTTGTACATCTTTTTGAGAGATTGCGAACCCAAGGGAGTTGTATTTAGACGGATTCATAGATTGATTCTTTTCGAGATTGATTCTTCTCCTGACTCGTCTTGACTCGCAGGCTTGAGTAATATTTTCCTTAAATGAGAGAGTATTCCCGTTACCAAGTCCCTTGATTGATACCTTCGATTAACATCATTATGTGGGAGAATCTTTAGCGGATTATTTTGTGCCCGGAATCTCCTTTGATTTAGATCTTTCCTATAATAACTCTTTTAATTGATTTTACTATCTTCTTTGATTGATTTGTCCGCTTTTCTTTCCTTTTTCGTTGGATTCATTTCCTCCATTTTATTGCTTAGAATCTTTTCCTTCACATAGGGAGTAATTGGTTATTTTGCATCATTGAAATTTACTGAGATCTAACATCATGGTAGACGATGGAAGTGGAGCATGAATTATCCATCCCCGAGTCCTCGCCCAAATGAGACTCAGGGATAAGATAGTGTCACACTGCCTCACACTAACCAGTTTTAATAATGCAGTTGACCGGACATCCGGGGAAATTACACTCCCCGTCTTGGCCGGCAGT